TTTTGTCTTGCTTTGACTCTTAATAATTTGAAATTAAAACTAGATCTAGGCTCTCTTAGTTTACCAAGTTCAATCTGCATAAAGCAATATCTATACTTCTCAGACAAATAACTTATGCAATGCCACTGCATTAATTATCATTTTATAGGCTATGCAGCAACTGGCTGTACAAACATTCTTGAACTATAAATTGTCTGAACAATTTTTTTCCATAAAAAATTTTTTAAAAGGGCTCTGCGCCTGTAGCACAGTGGTTATAGCGCCAGCCACATACACCAAAGTTGCTGGGTTCGAATCGGGCCTGGGTCAGCTAACCAACAGTGACAACTGCAACAAAAAAATAGCCAGGCGTTGTGGTGGGCACCTATAGTCCCAGCTACTTGGGAGGCTGAGGCAAAAGAACTGCTTACACACAAGAGTTTGAGGTTGCTGTGAGCTGTGATGCTATGGCACTCTACCCAGGGAAATAGCTTAAGACTCTTGTCTCAAAAAAAAAAAAAAAAAAAAATTTTTTTCTTAAAAGAAAAACTGTCATTATGTTAACTCAGTTTTATAGGGCAATCAATTAATTTAAGTAAATACAATGAATATTAACAGCAGTATGGTTTATCATATAAAAAGACTTTTCCATATACCATTTCTCACCCCCAAATAAATTAAAATAGTTCTTACCTAATTCATAGAGATGCCCATCTACATGAACTAATGCAATAAAGTGAAGATCTACTTTTTCATCTATACTTGGTGCCTGGAATAGGAGGGAAAAATACATATTATATGCATTAGTAGTCAAACAAATCAATCAAGTAAATATAAACATATACCAATAACATCAAATAACATAAGAGAACATTTATCTAATCTAATTTAAGGCTTTATCTTTGATATGGTGGACAAAGAGTGACCATGTCTATGTTTGTGACAATGTGCACATCCACCAACAAGGAAACCACTGACTAAAAGCACATCTTTCTGTTCTTTTTTTGGAGACAGAGCCTCAAGCTGTCGCCCAGGGTAAAGCAACCTCCAACTCCTGGGCTCAAGCGATTCTCCTGCCACCCCCTAACATAGCCATTTTCTTTTTTTTGAGACACA